TCTCTCTCTCTCTCTCTCTCTCTCTCTCTCTCTCTCTCTCTCTCTCTCTTCAACAGAACTCCCAGGGCTCGGCCCAGTGCTTGGCTGTAGATTTTTGCATCTAACACTTACTTGCTGAATGCTCTCTAATGACAATTAGGATACTCACCAGCCTGATAACAGGAGGAGGTCAGTTCAGGTACCCTCTCCACGATTGCTAGGACTGACATCTTATTGGATAACACCTAAAGACAATTTTCAATATTTCAGGACAGAGCCCCCACATAAAGTCCAACCTGCTTTCGGGAAGCCTTCAGAGTCTGTGGCGGGCAGTCACTGGCCCGCTTTTCGATTTCCAAGGAGACCCAGCTCAGCAAGGCGGAACCTTCATTTTAGGTCCAGGTGAGCATCAGGGACAGGCTATGTCTCTGTGCCCTCTCCAGCCTAAGAGCCACCCACCTTCATTATGTGACAGATACTGGTCTAATGAGAGGGTGTGCTCTGGTAAGGAGCATCTTTCCTTTTCAGAGACTTCTGGGTATTGATGTCTGTGTTTGATGAGGGTCCTCATCACTGGAGAGTGAGGGCAGGGATTTGGGGCACAGTAAGCTATGAGTTGCTGATTGATATATGGCTATTATACTCTTTTAAAAGTTCAACAGGGCTTAAAGAAATTGCTCAGTGTTTATGAGCACTGGCTGCTCTAGCGGTGGACCTAAATTCAGTTCCCAGCACCTATATCAGGTAACTCACAACCACCTGTAACTTTAGTTCCTAGGGATCTGATGCCCTCTTCTGGCCTCCATGGGCACCTACACTCATGTGTACAACCACCCCCCCCATACTTATAAGTATACATAATTAAAAATAAAATAAATCTTAAAGGAGTTCAGTGCTCACTTTGGCAGCACACATTCTAAACTTGGAACAATGCAAAGATGAGCTTGGTCCCTGCACCAAGGACGACATTCACATTTGCATCATAGTCCACATTGTTCCTTCAGCACTCAAAAGAAATCTGGAAATTTCCATGAACGAAGTAGGGGATCCAGATGTGCACAGTGATACCAGGCTTGACAGAGCCATCTGACCCAAAGGAATAGGAATGCTCCAGAGTGGGTCCCTGTCCATTTGTCCAGGAAATGTAATGAGGCTGAGGAGTCACCAGTCTCTACACTTTGATAACCTGTGTCCTTATTACACATTAAAAAAAATCTACAGACAGAAAAGCAGACAAAAAAGAGTGGTGGTGAGACACACTTGGGAGGTAGAGGCAGGTAGATCTTTGATTTCAAGGCCATCCTGGTTTACAGACTGAGTTCCAGGACAGCCAGGGCTTAAAAAAACAAAACAAAACAAAACAAAACAAACAAAAAACCTACAGTTAATATGAATGGGAATATGGAATAAAGTTACAGAACTGCCAAAATCTAAGTTCAATAGGGGCCTGGCCAGATAGCTTCCCAGGTAGAGACACTTGCGATTCAAGCTTGGAGAGATGGAGGTGAGCTCCTTTTGTAAATGAAAGAATCTTCACTTTTGCCGACTGAAGTAGGAGACCCACACAGTGTTGGAAAGCGAGCCAGTACCAGGACTAGCCCGTTCCGAAGTGAGGACTGCAATAAGCCACGGCTTCAACAACTGCATTAACCGTGTCTTGGCCAGCAGTACAGAAAGCAGACTCTCCACATTCACGGTCTGCAGTAACAGACCAAACAGCCACTGGCATAGGCAGATTTTTCTTCATTTTCTGCCTCTTAAAAATTGTACCTCCTAGTGAATTATTAACACATCTATCAATCCCAGACTCTTGAAAGGACTGCTTTTGACTGTTTTATTTTTTTGTAGCAGGCACACTTGTACCCGTCTCTTACAAATTTAGATCATTTTAAAAAAAAAAAGAAAGAAAGAAAAAGAAAAAGCTCTTTGGGGCTGGAGTTGTAATTCAGTAGAAGATGCATTGTTTCCTAGGCTCATCACCGATAAATGACTAAGTAAATACACGAGCCCATTTTGAGCTCAGCTCAGAGCTCCCTCCTTTCCATCCCCCCCCCTTTTTTTTTGAGACAGGGTCTCCCGATGGACTTGTGGCTGTCCTAGAACTCGCTCTATAGACCAGGCTGGCCTTGAACTCACAGAGATCCACCTGTCTCTGCCCCCTGAGTGCTGGGATTCTTTAATCCACTACCTCCCAGCCTCCATATTCTTCTCTTTCTCCGTGGTGTTGGGTATTTCACCAGGGTCTTGTACACTGCACAGGTGCTCCTATCACTGAGCTACACCCCAGTCTTCCAGACCCGTATTTTTGAATAACTAATTTGCATCCTCAGACCTGGAAGGTGTTGTTGGAGGCTGTTCGTTTGTTCCCAGCCACTCAGACCCGAAATAATTATACAGAAACTATGTTATTTAAAACACTGCTTGGCCAATAGCTTAATTATATTGCTAGCTAGCTCTTATATCTTAAATTAACCCAATTTCATTATTTTATATTTTACCACAAGGCTTGTGGTTTTCTGGTAAAGTTCCCTGGCATCTCCTTCCGTGGCAGCTACATGGCATCTCACTGACTCTGCCTACGCTCTCTCTACATCTCTGCTTGGATTTCCCACCTGGCTTTACTCTGTTAAGCCATTGACCAAAAGCAGCTTTATTCATAAACCAATAAAAGCAACACATATACAGAAGGACCTCCCACACCAGGAAGGGGTTGTTGTTCTTTTACCCCATTCCTCATCTCAAGTCACTGAGTCATTTGGCCATTGTCTTCGTGTTTCTACTGCTGTAGAGACATCATGGCCATGGCAACTGTGGATGATGATGATGATGATGATGATGATGATGATGATGATATACAGTGTTCTGCATGCATGTATGCCTGTACTCCAGGAGAGGGCACCAGATCTCATTACAAATGGTTGTGAGCCACTACGTGGTTATGGGAATTGAACTCAGGACCTCTGCTCTTAACCTCTGAGCTTTTTTATATTTACATATATATATATATATATATATATATATATATAGAGAGAGAGAGAGAGAGAGAGAGAGAGAGAGAGAGAGAGACAGGGTTTTGGTAACTGTTATATAGGAAAACATTTAATTGGGGCTGGCTTGCAGTTCAGATGTTGAATCCGTTATCATCATGACAGGAAGCATGGCAGCATGCAGGCAGACATGGAGGCAGACATGAAAGTTCTACATCTGATTTGTCAGGCAGCAAGAAGAGAAAGTGCCACATGGGGCCTAGCTTGAGCTTCTGAAACCTCAAAGCCCACCCTTGTTGACATACTTCCAGTAAGACCGTACCTATTCCAACAAGGTCACGTGTCCTAATCCTTTCAAATAATGCCACTCCTTATAAGCCACACCATAGCCACAGGGGATGAAGAATTAAACCTGTTACTATAGATGTGGCCAGTGGACGTAATGCCAAAAAGCATGTCCTTTGATCTAATGTTTCAAGTTAAATTCTGGTTTTGGCTGCATAGTGGCACATACCTTTAATCCCAGCATTTTGGAGGCAGAGGCAGGAGGATCTACATAGTGAGTTCCAGGCCAACCAGTGCTATATAATAGAGAGATCCTGACTCAAAACAAACAAAAATTCTGGTGTTGAGCTCCAAGTGGAACTAACAGGATTTAGACGATAAATTACGACTTGAGTGGATAGGATTGTGGGTGTCTAGGTGTACTGTAGCTAGCTGGCTATGCCTTCCCTCCTAACCTCCTTGATTAGTTATAAAGCGTCCTCTGAAATCAGTGTTTTTCTTTCCCTCTTTTTTTTTTTTTTTTTTGGTTTTGGCAGTGCTAGGGATGACCCAGATCCTCACGAGTACTGCACCCCTAGCCTCAGGAGTGAATTTTTTTGAAGCAAATGATTTGTTTTATTAATGCATATGCTTAGGAAATAGATATTAATTTCCCAGCTGATACCTATGTTAGTTCCAAATTCTGCCTGTCTGGTTGGATGTTTTATTTAATTATACTTGATGAAACTGAATAGAAGGGTATAATTTAGGATGCTGTCCCCTCAGAGCTCGTAATGTGTTAAGTGACACTCTTACTCAACCATTGCCTTGTCACGGTTAATTGCCATGATGCAGAATTATGGTGGCATTACATTGGAAGTATAATGGACTCCAGGTAATTAATTTTTCCCTTTGGACTAATTAGCAATTGTAATACTTCCTTGGTCCCGGTAAGCAGTAAATCTAAAGACTAGCGCATCATTTGCCCTCAGCGTTTGTCCTTCTTCTCTTCTAGGTAACAGCATCCACTTTGTGCACCGAGACAGGAATAGGTTGGATCACAAGCCCATAAACTCTGTTTTACAGCTTGTGGGAGTTCAGCCTGTGAACTTCATGAGCAGACCTGCAGTTATCCATGTGTGACTGCACATGGGATCTTCCACTTGTGAATGGGCCCTTGAAATGTGAGCCAAAATGCCAGGCATTATGAGATTATGGAAACACAAAACTCATGTGCCTATAGAACTATATTCTGAGAGGCATCAGGGAAAAGCTTTTTAAATTTTATAGCCTCTATAATTATTCATTCAATGAAAGATTTTTGGCAACTAAAATATAAGAAGGGGAACTGGAAAGATCACTCAGTAGTTAAGAACACTTGCTTCTCTTGCAGAGGACCTAGGTTTGGCTCACAGTTGTCTGTAACACCAGTTCTAAGGTATCCAACACCTTCTTCTTGCCTTGGGGTCCAGGTGTATATGTGGTAAACATGCATAAATGTAGGCAAACACTCATATACATAAAGTAAGAATAAATCTTATAAAGCTACATACATATGTGCATACATGCATGCATGTATTAAGGGAAGGGAAGAATGGGCCAGGTATGATGGCACAAGTTTGTAATACTAACACTGAGAAATGGGACAAGAATTAAGTCTGCCCAGGCAGTGGTAGCAACGCCTTTAATCCCAGCACTTGGGAGACAGAGGCAGGCGGATCTCTGTGAGTTCAAGGCCAGTGTGGTCTACAAGAACCAGTTCCAGGACAGGATTCAAAAGCTACAGGAAAACCCTGTCTCGAAAAACCAAAAAAGAAAAATAACAAAAAGCAAATAAATGTACAGCCAGATGTGGTGGTGCATGGGAAGGAGGCAGGAATTCTAGAACAGGCTTACATTTCTAGACACCTGCTTTTTCTCACCCCAAAATCTCTTATTTAGAAAACTCTTGTCATATTTTACTTTTTAAGAATTTTAGTTTTGACCAGGCAGTGGTGGCATACATCTCTAATCCCAGCACTCAGGAGGCAAAGGCATCTCTTCAAGTTGGAGGTCAGCCTGGTCTACAAAGCAAGCTCCAGGATAACCAAGGCCACGCAGACAAATCCAGTCTCAAAAACCAAAGAAAGCAAGGGAGAATGTTAGGTTTTTTTTGTTTGGTGTTTTGTTGTTGTTGTTGTTGTTGTTGTTCTATTCTTTGAGACAAGGTTTTTCCGTGTAGTCTTGACTGTTCTGGAACTCTTGCTCTGTAGACCAGGCTAACCTAGAACTCAGAGATCTGCCTGCCTTTGCCTCACAAGTGCTAGGATTAAAGGTGTGTGCCACAACCATGCAGCTAAGAATCTTAGTTTTGTCCCAGAAATTCTATCTCAAGAAAACTATCTCAAAATCAAAATATTTGTAATTCTTAGCAACCATAATACTACTATGACTTTATACTTTTATATAAGCATATTAACTCATAAAACTATTTTGATGCATTTTCACACAAATATATATGGACAGTCATGGTTTTAAATCAATAAAAGTGAGACTTTTTGGAATTTAAAATTAATTTTTTTTCTATTTTTTGTTTGGAATATTTTGTGTGTTCTGGGGTTCTTTGGGGGTGAGGGAGAACAGTTCCTTACTATGTCATAGGCTTGCTTAGACTTCCCTAGCCCATTGAGAGATGACTCATCCTCCTCTTATAGAGGTCCTGGGTTTGTTTTCCTACACCCATACCAGGCCCCTCACAAATGCCTATAACTCCAGTTCCAGTGGATCTGGCCTCATCAGCATGTGCATACAAATGGTGTACATGTCCTCTGATACACACACAGACACCTGAAATGTAAGGAATAAATCTTAAAACAACCATAAACCTCTCTATCCTAGACTGGTCTTGAACTCTCAAGCTTCTTCCCCAACCTCTCGGTGTCGGAATTACAGGTATATGCTGTCATACCAGCCTGTTCTATATTGAACATAAAAGAAAGAATAATAGTCAGATCCCCTTTTGCCAGTTTTAACCAAAATTTATATATTTGCAAGTATAAATAAATGTTTATAAATATATGTGGCTTTAGGGAGGTACAATTCCATAAACACTGTGCATATGGTTGCCACCCAAATACATATAATACCAAGGCAACAGCTGGGTGTGGTGCCATCAAGTGATACCATAACTGAGGCAACTCTTTATTGCTGTTGTTTTCGAGACAGTCTTGGCTCTGATACTTGCTCTGTAGAACAGGCTGGTCTTGAACTCACAGAGATCCACCTGCCTCTGCTTCCCAAGTACTGAGATTAAAGGCATGTGCCATCATCACCCAATTAGCAACTCTTTAAAAAAAAAAAAGCATTTAAGTACTCGCTTTGGCAGCATACATACTAAAATCTGGATGATACAGAGAAGATTAGCATAGCCTCTTCACAAGCATAACACATGAATTTGTAAAGCATTCCATATTTTTGTAGAATTCTGCAGTTTAAAAAAGGCATTTAATTGGGGACGTGTTTACAGTTTCAGAGACTCAGGGCATTAGCATCATGGCAGGGAGCATGGTGGTATGTTGTGAGATCTTTACTTCCTGATCTGCAGGCAGAGACAGACAGACAGACAGACAGACAGACAGACGACAGACTGTGCTTATCGGCTTTTGAAACCTCAGAGCCCACCTTTCAGTGATACACTTCTTCCACCAAGGCCACACCTCCTAACCCTTGTAATCCTTTCAAACAGTCCAATTCCCTGATGACTAAGCATTCAAATACATGAGCCTCTGGGGACCATTGTTATTTAAACCATCTCAGGTAGCATGCACCTATAGTCCCACTTACTTGGAAGATGGACTAGCCTGGGCATTTCGTGTGTGTGTGTGTGTTATAAAATTATCTATAATGCACACTGAACTATATAAACATACTCCCCCCAAGGTCATGATTATACTAGAATTTAAATCCTGAAACTCTTTCTGTGAAAAATGTAGAAATTGTAGGTAAAACAATATTGGACTGGGGAGTGTGGCTCAGTACTTGCCTAGCATGTTCAAGGCACTAGGTTCTTACACGGTACCACCAAAAAACAAAACAGAAACATTTTTGTGGTGCTCTGTGTTCACCTATACACTCTTTGCACACTGTGTGGAATTACTGTTATAACCATCATCCAGAACACACATGTCACAGACAAGAACATTTTTTACAAGAAATTCCAGAAGCGCCACAAACAACCTGAAAGCAGGCTGATGACAATTGTGAAGTCACGGATCACCTGGGAGGCAGGAACTCATTCCCAGCTTATGAGAAAGCTGTTCTTTGGCCAGTTCAAACAACAGGTAGTTAACTACGACCCTTGCATGAAACCCTCTGAAGACACCTGAGGCCTGAGACCCATGGGCTGCACCTTCTCAGAACGGTCAGATTCTCCATGGGCCATGACCCCATGAGGGAATTCACTGGGAACCTTCTGCAGTGAGCTGCTGTGGAAACAAAAACCTCGATGGCATGATGGCAGATTTCGAAAAGCATGGCTGAAAGCAAGAGACAGTCAACTAAACTGCAGTCCCAACTACTCAGGACGCTGAGGCAAGATCTCTTAGCCCACAAGTTGCACAACAGCCCTGGCAACAGCAGCCCCCAGCTAATAAAGGAAAACACAAACCAATCAGGCTGACCTGTAGCTCATTGACAGTATTTGTCTCACATTATCTTCAGCACTGGGGAGAAAATCATGCTCAGATTTTTGTTTTAGGGGAAGGGTATGTAGTTCCAAGGTCGAATGCTTGCCCAGCATATACAAGGTCCCTGAGTTCCATCCCTAGAAACAAAGTAAATCTTAATTTAAAATAGAAGAACGAATCCCAAGACGACTTGGGATAGACTAGAAATCTGCAGACATTTACTGAAGGTACCTTCTACCATGCAGCTGAGGTGGACTCTGACCATGTAGATGGAGAAACTTATAAGGATGTGTAGTGTTCTACTTCAAAATCAATAGTCATTTTAAGCAGAGTGTTCTACGGTTGGGTTGTGACTTGGTGGTGGAGTGCTTGCTTAGCAGCACAGGCAGATGAAGGAGTGGATGATGGATGGATGGATCATTTAAGACATGCGCTTGACATACATACATTTTGTAAAAATAAAATGGTTTTCAATTCAGCTTAAAGAATTCATTTTCACTAGGCATGGTTGCATATGCTTTTAATCCCAGCATTCAGAAGGCAGAAACAAGTAGATCTCTGTGAGTTTGAGGCTAGGCTGCTCTACATAGTGAGTTCCAGGCCACCTAGGTATATAGTGAGGCTCTGCCTCCCAAAAGAAAACCTCAACAAACCAAAACCTCCATAATTGTTAGGGGCTAGTGAAATGACTCAGAGAGAAAAAGGTACTTGCCACCAAGCCTGAAAACTTGTGTTCTGTTCTTGGACTAACCTGGTAGAAAAGGGGTACCAATTTCTGAAAGTTGTTTTCTAGACACATATGCACTGTAATGTTTATAAACACATATGTACACACACCACTGCCTAAGTATTTTTTAAATCACAAAAAAAAAACCAAAAAAAGTTCTTAGAAAAATATCAATGACATTTTGGCTTTAGACACAGATTCAGACAAATAAAATAAAAACAGGCTAAATAATAAAAACATTTAGGCATATTGTTTTATTTATTTTATTCTTAGCTAGGAAGTATTCAATATTAAGAGCACACACTGAACCAGGCAGTGGTGGTGCACATCTTTAATCCCAGCCCTTGGGAGGCAGAGGCCAACTTGGTCTACAGACCTAGTTCTAGGATAGCTAAGGCTAAATAAACTGTGTCTTTTTTTAAAAAAAGATTTATTTATTAAGCATACAATGTACTGCTGGCAAGGAGATTGTGAGCCACCATGTGGTTGCTGGGAATTGAACTTGGGACCTCTGGAAGAGCAGCCAGTGCTCTTACCCTTTGAGCATCTCTCCAGCCCCGAAACTGTCTTGAAAAGCAAAACAAAACAAAAAATAAACAACAACAACAACAATAACAAAAAAACCCCACTGATCTTTAGAGGACCCAAATCCAGTTGGCAAACCCCATGTCAGGTAGCTCACAACCACAAGTAACTCCAGCTCCAGAGGACCCCACAGGCTCTTCAGGACTTCTTGGGTACTGCATGCATATGTGCATACACAGAGACACACATACATTTAAATAAAAAGTAAAGTTCCAATAATCAGCCAGGTGTGGTAGTACACACTTGTAATCCCAGCACTGTATACATCTCCAGAGAGTGCCTCACATAGAAGCCAGACAAGAAGCTGGAGGATGCCAACTGTAACACTGTCACAGCTATGAACTGGAGATGCTCCAAATGTCCAGCGCCAGAAAAATGGTGGAGGACATTGTATTTATCGTGTACACCCGTGAGAAACAAACCAAAAGTGTGCATAGCTGAGAGGCATGTCCTAGTTACTTATTATTGCTGTGCAGAGACATCACGACCAAGGGAACTTAGAGGAACCATTTAATGGGACTCTCAGTTTCGGAGGGTTAGAATCCGCAACTGTCAAGGCAGGCAGCATGGTGACTGCAGGCAGGCGTGTACTGTAGCTGTAGCTGAGAGGCCACATTTAGACAGCAAGGCAGAGAGCCAACCGGAATGGTACGGGTTTGTAAACCTCAAAGCCCTCCACTGTGACACACCTCCTCCTTCCCAAACAGGTCTACCCACTGGGGACCAAGTATTTAAACATATGAGTCTATGGGGATCATTCTCACTTATGCTATCATACAACATGATCCCAGAAAACAAAGCAGTTGCAGGGAAAAAAAATCCTTTATATACATACACACACATTTATATACACATATATATGTGTATTATATATATGTATATGTATTATATATGCACATAATGCACACACATATATGTATACATACACACATACACACATATTTAGGCTGGTCAGTGGTGGCACACACCTTTAATCCCAGCACTTGGGAGGCAGAAGCAGGCAGATCTCTTTGAGTTCAAGGCCAGCCCGGGACAAGCCCCAAAGCTATGAGAAACCCTGTCTCAAAAAACCCAAAATAAACAAGCAAATAAATAAAATTTATAAATATATATTTAAATGTGTGTGTAGTTCTTTGCTTTTTTGTTTTATGAAGCAGGATCTCACTATGTAGCCCTGTCTGGCCTAGAGCTCACTATGTGGATTAGACTGGTTTAAAATTTACATAGCTTTACCTACTCTGTTTCCCAAATCCTGATAAACTGAGTTCAATACCTGGGACCCATTTGGTGGAATCTGAGAACTGAGTAATGTAAGTTGTTCTCTGTCAGCTTCCTAACATCCACATGCGTGCATGCACACACACATACACACACACACTCAACACATACACACATTCACACATACACACACTCACACACATGCTGTGGCAAACATCTGAATACACACAGATATATACTCACAAAAACAAATAAATGTAATTTTTAAAGAGAGGGCTAGGGTCATAGCTCAGCGAGTAGAGTGGCTGACACCCACGAAACCCAGATCCCCAGTGCTGCATAAGCCCAGACACGGTGCCACATCTCTGCCATTCAAGCACTTGGGAGATGGAGGCCGAAGGACCAGAAGTTCAGGTCATCCTCAGCTACATAATGAGTATGAGACCAGCCTGGGCTACATAAGACCCTGATTCAAAAACAAAGTACAAGAGAGGACGGAAAATGAGTGACATGTGTCCCTTTGCATGGGGCAGACTAGTTCACAGGAACTGGAGGGTTTGGGGGCTGCAGTCAGTTGAAGCAGGCCAGAGCTCTGCTGAGAATTCAGAGCAGCTCCCAGAAACTACGCATCAGCCCTGTTCGTCACAGGAAGTCATTGGAACAAAGCACTTACAGAAGTCAGACTAGTTTCAAGAAAAGAATTTTACATACTATGCCGATCTTCGTACAACGACTTAAAAATGGAAGTAAGTAGGCAAATGTTTTAGAAGGTTCTTTAGCGAGTCCTACAGCAGGCTGTTATTTAGTTTTATTCGGCTAGCAGTCTGGAATCGGTGAGTCACTTGGCATTTCTAGACTTCAACCCTTAAGGCCTTGAAATGCCATATGTGAGCACGTTTACTGACTTAATGTAAACAGGGAATAGCTTTTTATTTCCAGGCATTGTGTGGAAACAGAGGTCTGCACTCTCACCTCCACAGTACAGAATGAAAGGCAGGATGATAGTAGTTTGAGACCAGAGACCCTGTCTCTCAACCCTCTTTGTCAGAGGGCAGGGAGTGTAGCTCAGTGGCTGAGTTCTTGCCTAGCATGCTTGTGGCTATCATTTGCTCCCCAGAACCTCAAATATGCCTACCTACACAAATGATCCATATTTGTTAGGATTTGGGGAAATTAAAATTTAGCCCCAGAGACTTCCTGGTATGGAGACATGTCACCACACTTCAACACCGTAAGCACTGACACTTTTGGAGGAGAGAAG